CTGCGAAATGTAGATAGCGACGCCGACTAAGATGAAGATGAAGAAGAAGCAGCTGCAGTAGCAACAGCATTCCTTGTTGCTAACCCACCTAGACCTTCTAGACCTTCTAGACCTTCTGCCTGAGAATGGACGCATATCAACTTGGGTTCTGTTCTCCGGTGAGGTTCTTAGTAATGGAGAGTTGGAGACGAATACAAAGACCATTTCATTTGTGCTTTGGAGCATTTTAAAAGGACTTATTGCCATTTTTTTATTTTGGATGGGGACATGATAAAGTTACTTGGATTTTTCACTTTGTTGATCACAACGTATAATGAAGATTTGATGGTGAGATTAGGTGATCGTGTTCTTGCTGTGAGTTTAGTATAGCCTTTTCAATTATGGTTATGGGCTCAAGAATCTAACGAATAAAGGGCACGACCGTCACATGGTATTTTTATAAGTCTTTTTTAATATTTTTCTTATCATTTGTTAATACTCTTTTTATTTGATAAATCTACTCTTCTTCTTTTTTCTTTTTCTTTTTTTTACCTTTACTTTTTGTTTTCTATTCATTAGTTTCAACCTAACATTTTTTTACTATTCTTCACTGAATTTAATTTACTTTCCACTTTTATTTATTGCACATTCTTTTTATTATGCACTCTTTTTTTTCTTTCCCTCAACTAACTAATCAAATTTTAATTATAATTTTTTATTTAAAAGATATACTTGTTAATTTATGATGATTTTAATTTTTTAAAAAATTTCACTATAGAACATCTATCAGATTTTTTTTATTATATAGTAAAAATTTAATTTTAAATCTCATGTAAATGAAAATATTCTAATAAAATATATTATAAGTGTATCAAAAAATTTTATAATCCTATAATACCTTTTATGATGTAATAGTTAAAATATTAAAACTTTATCAATTAATATAATTAAATAAATTACTATAAAATTAAAAAATAATAATCAAAACCCTCTCTTTATTTTTCTCAGTACATTATTTATCATTAGAGACAAACACATCTATATATATATATATATATTATAACTAAAGAAGAAACCATTAAAAGAAAATTTGTTAGGTGATACATTCATCTGTCTTTCTTACTTTATTTTTTTTTACATGTGGCTTGACTTTCTTTTTGGTAAATTTTTTTTCTTTTAAGTACTTTTTTAAATGTGATTATTATTATTACAAGAGTTATTCTACCATCAATTAATATATTAGAACAATATATTTAAATTGTATAGTACATTTTGTTGGCTGCATATTTTTTTCCAAGAACACTTGGAACGCTTTTATTATTTTTTGTCTGGCCATTTCTTGCAACGTTTCTATTTCCTTTTTTTAAGTAATTAATAATAATTAATAAAAATATTTAAATTTGAATAGTGATTATATAATATTTGTAAAATTAAAGAAAGTGTGAAGCTTTATACTTTTTTAACAATATTAGAACTACTTGCAGACTCTCATGTGGCCCAGTGGTGCCCCAGTGATGGCCATATTGCCCTTGGGCAGCATGTGGACTGCACACCCACTTTACAGGTTCAATTCTCTCAATGTACAAACAGATACTAACACTTCCCTAACTAATTTCTATTGTCAAAAAAAAAAAAAATATTAGAACTACTCATGTGGAGAAAACTAAATATGAAAAAATAACAATGTTAGTAGAAAAGTTTTGAACTTTGATGCATACAAAATTGAGCATAAAAAAGTCCTCATTTTTCTTTCTTATGGGGTGATATTATTGTCATGTCCCAATTACTAATATCACACATTTTTATTTTAATTAATTATTATACCCTCTAATTTATTAAGAAATAAAAAAATATATAATTTTGAGAAAAAATATAATGTAAGGGTAAAATAAACAATTATAGTAAAATTATGTGGTATTAATTATTTAAAATGTAACAATAACTCATCCTTTTTATGTTATATTTTTTAAGTTTTATTAATACTATTTCATAAAATTTGAATAATGATTATATGATATTTGTAAAATTAAAGAAAGTGTGAAACTTTATTTTTTTT